CGGGTTGAATACGTTGGACTAGACAACATGGGAAAGCCAATGGCAAAAAAATCTCATGAACCATGGCTATCCGCTGATTATTTATGACGTGTTCCCTGATGTATGCAAAGAATTTAGAGAAGCTGGTGAACAGGTAGTATCTTCCCCAGCAGATGTAGCCGAAAAAGCTGACAGAATTATTACAATGATGCCCACCAGTATCAATGCAATAGAAGCTTATTCTGGAACAAATGGGATTCTAAAAAAAGTGAAGAAAGGCTCATTATTAATAGATTCCAGTACTATTGACCCTGCAGTTTCAAAAGAATTGGCCAAAGAAGTTGAGAAAATGGGAGCAGTTTTCATGGATGCCCCTGTTTCTGGTGGTGTTGGAGCGGCCAGGTCTGGGAATCTCACATTCATGGTGGGAGGAGTTGAAGAGGAATTTGCTGCTGCCCAAGAGTTGCTGGGGTGCATGGGCTCCAATGTGGTGTACTGTGGAGCTGTCGGGACTGGGCAGGCTGCAAAGATCTGCCAACAACATGCTGTTAGCTATTGGAACTACTGAAGCTATGAATCTTGGAATCAGGTTAGGGCTTGACCTAAAACTGTTGGCTAAAATCCTAAATATGAGCTCAGGACGGTGCTGGTCAAGTGACACTTACACCCCTGTACCTGGGGTGATGGATGGAGTTCCTTCGGCTAATAATTATCAAGGTGGATTTGGAACAACACTCATGGCTAAGGATCTGGGATTGGCACAAGACTGCTACCAGCACAAAGAGCCCAATCCTTCTGGGCAGTCTGGCCCATCAGATCTACAGGATGATGTGTGCCAAGGGCTACTCAAAGAAAGACTTCTCATCCGTGTTCCATTTTTTACGAGAGGAAGAGACCTTTTGAGCCTGCCATTTGGCCATGGACACTGTTGGGAACTCACTTCCATCTCCGAGCCTCCCTCTAGCTCACTCCACAAGTAAATGGGCTTAATCAGAGTCCTGTTTGCTTTCGATTGTCTAGTTGCAATAATCCCTAGGGTTTTTCACTCACTTCTAACTGCTTACTCTTTTTTGTTAGTAAATGTGTTATCTGGGATTTTTTTTTTTCTTGTAAGTTACTAATGGTCGCTGCTAACTAGCTAAATTTACTTTTTTTTTTTTAATTTTGATCTCGGCATCTTCAACTAAATTGTTGAATACTTAAATCAGGATATTATTTACACCACTTTACAAATAAAACCAAATATTTTGTCAATAGGATGAAACCCATCATATTGGGAAGAGAAGAAATTAGTGTGAGGAGAGGAGTTGAAGAAGTACCCTCGGGAAGTTTGTCCAGTGAACTGAATGGTGGTATCCTTGCATGTCTGAGGTTACTGATCTTATTTTCTAGAAAGTTAATAAAAGCAAGAGAACTTGTTGCTGTATGTTTTCTATTTGGACTCAATTACAGGATCTTATTAGGTGTCTCTTTTGCTAAACTCCCAGTACTCAGCAGACTTTTTTTTAAATATATATTATTTTTGCTTTCTTGTACATTCTTACTACATATTTTTTGACTTTAAGAGAAAGACATCTTTAGACCTATTTCAGAGCCAATGATGATACTTGCTTTAGATAATTATTACATTATTCTAAATATAATGATATTATTTTGAATTTATATAAATTTCTATGCTGATAATTTTAAAAAAAAAGGTATAGCCATGCTACAACCTCTTCTCCATTCTCCTCTTGGAATTTTAAGCATGGACATGCACACATGCGTCTGGTGTGTTTCAAACTGCACAGTTGGCCATGTGTGATCAAGTCACCCTAATCATCCCACCACTGGCCAGCCTGAAAAAACACCAAAACTAATATAGCCATTTCAAATCTGAAAATAAAACACTGATGATTTGTTCAGGTTCTACAAATACAACTAATGAGGACCCAATATACTATTTTGCTCTATGTTTGAAATTGATGTTTGGTAAATTGATATTAAAAGCTATGGGGTAAGGACTCATTCCCAATTTGATTTGAGTTACTGATGAAATAGTCCAAGGTTCCTCTAAGGATACAGAAAGGAAAAGTCAAAGGGTATGTATACAACTAAATCTTATGACATAAAACATAAGGTGAGTAAAATATAATTAATTCTCATTAATTTAGAAACTGTGCAAATTATCACCATTTTAAAATTACACAGGGAGGAATAAACAACTGGCCACTGTCTCAGAGATAAATATTTACTAAGCAGTTCAGGCTCTACAGCACAAGCAGATATTCTGAGAGTCTCATCGACTGCAAGAAAGGTGGCAGTGTCCAAGTGTCAGGGAAACCAATTACAATGAGTCATGTGCTTAGCATCCCTATTTATGAATACTGTATTCGTGCTATTACACTGTGCCAGCTGTCATTCAGTCACTGTAATACAGACCATCAATGATATTAAAATCAATTTCCTATTCTGATCAAATTCATCATAGGTTGTTCAACAATGTAGTAAAGATCTTTGAAACCAAACACACAGTCTTAAAAAAAAAAAACACCTAAAACAAATAAACACATGCATTTTAAGTCTGAAAAATGAAATGACCTGATGATTTGTCAAATCTATACATGAAACTGATGAAGGAAAAGACCTGGGATGTATGGCCAAGAGAAAATTCAGTGTTTATATAATGCAGCTTCTGAAAGGCTGTCAGGAGGAGCAGGTTTTGTTTCATTACCAGGATAAAAGCCAAGAAGAGGATAGATGGCCACAAGGGGACTAGAAAAAAAAAAAAAAAAAAACCCCTGCCTATATGGAAGACTATCCAAGGGTAGGCAGCTGGGAAGTCAATGTTCCTGGTACCACAAGGAAAGTGTGGGGAGGACATGGGTGAATACAGTTTGTGCAAGGGACTTCCACATCAGGTGAGTGGATAGATCAAATTCTTTTTCAATTCTTAGATATTATGATTATGTAATAATGTTTTTCTAAATATCCAATATAATAATTATTTTTATGAATGTGGTTGACCTTGGGAGGCTTAAATATATTAAAGCATTTTCCAAATCTAAAAAAAAAAATAGTTAATTTTGGTCAGTATGAAATGGTACTTGTTGGGGACGGCAGGTGGTGTGGTGGTTAAGGGGCAGGACTCCCACATGGCCGACTGTGGTCCAGGTTTCAGATCTGGCAGCTTGCTTTCTCCCTTTCCCTTTCTCTCTCTCTCTGGTCAAATTAAATCATCATCATCATCATCATCAAATAAACAGTTTAAACAAAAAAAACCCAAGAAAATAGTTCTTATCTGTAAAATTTTGTTTTAGGCACTGTCAGTATCAGTATGCTTAGTAATTATTACATTTCCTGTTTGTTGAAAAATACAATTCCTGGAAAAATTGCTCAATAAAGTTTAATTATTCAGCAATAAGAGAATGGGGAACCATGATGTTAGAAAACTCCCCCACGATGGGACCAGCAGTTGGCGTAATGGCTGTGTTGCTGGACTCCCATGTAGTCAACCACGGTTTGAGTCCCAGACCCAGTGGTTTAAACTCATGCCAGGTGCATGTGCGTGTGTGCCCAAGATCCTGAGAGGAGAATGGAGGAGAAGGGATTGTGGCGTGGCCATCCCCCCCAGGGGGTGATTTCTGGCTTTCTGTCTGTCTCTGTCTGTCTTTCTGGCAAGCGCATGAGCTCTATAGCAAAAACCTCTCCAAAAAAAAAGAAACTCCCCCTGCCCCCCATGATATTGCAACAATAATAACAGCTGACATTATGAAGTGCCTACTGTCTTCCAGGCACTGTTCTAAGTGTTCCCATTTTACAAATGAGAAAACTGAAGACCACAAAAGTTGGCATAACTAGCTCAAATTGCACACTTGTTAGTGATGGAATCTAGATTCTAATTCGGCCAATTTGCCTCTAGCAGCTGTGTTCCAATAATGCACCCTGTTGTGATTACATATCCATAGCCCATCCTAAAGTGTTCAGTATGCATTTCAAAATATATAAACCAGTTTACAAATTCCTAAGCGATGAAGTTAACATACTGTAAAGATGGGAGCTCTGATTGTCTCTTAAAATGTTACAATGGTAATAGCAGTCTTCATTTTACCTTTCCAGCACACTTAAGTTCTTGCTTATCCTTGTTGGCAAATCCTGTCATTGCTGCGGTTTCAATCATTCCTGTCAGAGCAAGTACTGGAGCAAAACTCAGAATCAAGAGTGTCATCTCCCATCCATATATGAAGGAAATGATAACCGACAGTCCAATGTTAGTTGCATTTTGTGTTAAGACACCAACTCTTGAACCTGTTGCCTATAATCAGACATATTTTGGGGAAAATAGTCAGTTAATGTTAACTTTACAATAATTTCTGTTATCATTTCTTGCAAAACAAGATAGACTTTCTGTTTTCAGGATTTATACCTAAATTTATAGTTACAGATGAAATAATATGCATATCTAAAAATGCCTTTGACTAAGGAATCATGCTTTATTTTTCTGTCTTAAGTCCAATATTGGGACAGCCCAATGAACTGGCTTTTAGTTTACTGGAACACCATAGAAGACTGTATAGAAACATAATAGAAACAGACTATCTGAAATGAAATACTAGCCGGTTGAAGAGAGACTTTAATGCTGCTCTAATAGTTCTCCTTAAGTAGTTTTGCAGGATCTTACACCCCAATCCAAGTTAAATATGTTGAAAGCTGACGTTACAGGATTTTTTCTGTCTTCTCAATGACAGATACACAGCTGTGCTCTTTTTTCCTCATACCACATTCAATACCCAGCAACAATGAAAACACACATGTGCAAGTGTACATGCACATATCCACAGACACCTCATCTCTTCAACCCTGAAACAGATAAACTCTTTTATTGAGAGAATTTTTCTATAGGGTGCATGCGTTCTCCAGAGACACGGAGAGAGACAGAAAGATAGAAAGTGAGAAATCACCTCCTGGGAGGTGGCCATACCACAATTCCTCCTCCTCTTTTCTCCTCCTGGGGTTTTAGGCACACATGCACACATGCCTGGCATGTCTCAAGCTGCCAGGTCTGGGACTTGAACCATGGTTGGCTATGTGGGAGTCCACTATTGCCACTTGCTGGCCTCAACAGGTAAGTTCTTGATAATAAAGCTGACGCTTGAAACTAGCATCATCATAATTACTATTAAAAAACTAACTAAGGGGACCAGTAGTTAGCGTAATGGCTATGTCGCAGGACTCCCATGTAGTCGACCGCGGTTTGAGTCCTGGACCCGGCGGCTTAAACTCACGCTGGGCGTGTGTGCGTGCATGCCCAAGATCCCGAGAGGAGAATGGAGGAGAAGGGATTCCAGTGTGCCCATATCCCCTGGGGGGGTGATTTCTCGCTTTCTATCTCTCTGTCTCTCTCTTTCTGACGAGTGCACGTGCCCTATAGCGAAAACCTCTCCAAAAAAACCCAAAACCAAACCAAACCAAACAAAACAAAAACTAACTAAGGATCAACAGATGGTGTAATGGTTAACTTGCTGGACTCCCACATTGTTGACCATGGTTCAAGTCCCGAACCCAGAGGCTTAAAATTCACACTGGGCATGTGTACATGCATGCCCAAGATCCTGAGAGAAGAATGAAGGAGAAGGTATTGCAGGATGCCCATCCCCTGGGGGTGCTTTCTCACTTTCTTTCTCTCTATCTGGCGGGTGCATGTGCCCTATAGGAAAAAATCTCTCCAATAAAAACAAAAAAAACAAAAAAACAAAAAACCAAAAAAAAACTAACTAAAAAAAGAAATCAATTTCTAGGTAAGCATTTTTTCACTGTTTACTATTTTTAGAACAATTATTTATTTTGTATTATTTTTAATTTAATCAGAAAAAAATTTTAATTTATTTTATTAGTATTGTTCTTCAACTTGGCCAGAGACAGAAAGAAAGGGTGAGAAAGCAAGCTGCCAGGTCCAGGACTCGAACCCTGATTGGCCAAGTGGGAGTCCAGTGCCTTAACCATCATGCCACTTGCCAGCCCCTACAATTTACTATTTTAAAAGATGCCACATTTGTTAGGAATTTTATGGAAAATAAATAGGTTGATAATTAATAGTATTAAAGTACCAGTTTTACATATATGTATGATAGACATATACTTAAAATTTAAATAAATTTGTTCAGAAAAGATAGTTTGAGTTATGCATATGTTTTTTTTGTGTTTTTTTTTTTTTTTAATTTTCTATAGGGCACATGAGCTTGCTGGAGACAGATAAAGAGAGAGAAAGGGAAAATGAAGAAGTACCACCCTCAAGACCATGCTGCAATCCCCTCTCCTCTAGTCCCCTCTTGGGGTTTTGGGCATGTATGCATACACACCCTTTGTGTGTGTCTCTGTGTGTGTATGTGTGTGTGTGTGTGTGTTTGTTTTGCTTAAACATTTATTACTTATCTATTTATTTGTTGTGATTTTCAAGTTGCCAGGTCAACCATGTGGGAATCGGGCACTTTAACCACCATGCCACCTGCTGGGTCCAAGCCCCGTGTGTTTTTTAAGTTACCATATCTGGGATTCTAACTGCGCAGTTGACCGCATGGGATCCAGGCACCTTAACCACCACACTAGCTGGCTGTGGCTTCTTTATGAAGGTTTCACATATTTTATTTCACAGATAGTGAAAAGGGAGAGAATGCTATATTTAACTTACATATTTATTAAAGTAGAATCTAATTCATCTTCAGTAATATTCAAAGGGAAATGTTCAATTTCTGCTTTTGATTTTTTTGAGATTATTCAAACAAATTTACTTAATATTGATAACTACAAAATTTCATATGCAACACACGGCCATTATTACAGGATTTACCTTCTAAAGGAAATACTCTGTATTACCGAATACCTGTGAAACAGATATTCAGCTTTTCTGTTAAGAGTCTGCTTTCCTAGAAATAGGTGAGAAATAATGACCCTAATTCCAATCCAGAAAAAAACAAAAAACTTAAATGATTATATTCTTTAAGTTTCAACAGGTTGTTTTTGTTGTCCTTTTTTTTTGAAGAGATTTTTGTTACAGAGCACCGGTGCTCGCCAGACAGACAGAGAGGGACAAAGTGAGAAATCACTCCCCAGGGGGATGGCTGTGCCTCAATCCCTTCTCCTCTACTTCCTCTACATTTTGGGCACACATGTACATGTGCCTGGTGTGAGTTTCAGGCCACTGGGTCTGGGACTCACACTGCAGCTGACCATGTGGAAGTCCACTGCCTTAACCACTATGCCACCTTCTGGCCCCCCAACAGGTTCTTAATACTAGAAAGATTACAAACTCAACTTTTCGCCTCAATATTTTTCTGTGGAAGTCTTATTGTTAACCAAAATAAGCCACAGCTTTCTCATTAAACTTTGTTTTAATGGGTCTCAAAATTCTGTGACATATTTTTGGTCAAGTTGTTTTTTAGAAACTAGTAAGTTAAAACTGTCATACACAAAAATACAAAACGGTCTACAAAACATTTCCTTTTCTTCTGAAGGGTTTATGATGCATTGTCATTTACCAATCTTTTTTTTTTTTTTTTTTTGAGAGGTTTTTGCTATAGGG